CAGGCCTACCCAACTACCAGACTCGGCACCGAATGATCCTGAATTCACCGGTAGATCAGACCACACTACCAGTTTTCAAGGTGTGTGTCAGATCGCATTACACAGTATCATACCCTGAACAAATTTTGAGTGGTGATGCAATACTTATCAACCCTGCTGAGAATCGTCACTATCACATCGCGTACTAGGCAAGAGTAGTGTCGCGTCTGATACTGTGTAATGCGATCTGACACACACCTTGAAAACGGGTAGTGTGGTCTGATCTACCGGTGAATTCAGGATCATTCGGTGCCAAGTCTGGTAGTTGGGTAGGCCTGAACACGTAATATACACAAATCGATGACTGTCAAATGTTTTAAAAAGCCAAGCTTGATCACATATCCTTCCAGTAAAATAATATCAAACTTCATATATAGTTAACGCGTGTTTAAAGGTTAAAACTATATCACAATGTCAATTCAGAATCGTTCGGTTTTGGTGGTCACCGCATCTTGATCCTTTTCTTTTGTTTGATCGTAAGTGCTGTAAGTGGTCGTCTGCTTCACGTTCAGTTTGGAAGTGGACACGTACTCCTCGCTATCTGAGTGCTTCTCTTCAATGGGCCCTACGGCAGACTGTCTTAGCATTATCTGCTTCAAAAACAATATTGATATGCACACACCTATAATGAAAACCCCCACCAACAGGATCATCAGGGCAATCAGGTCAATTTGAACGTCTAGTATCTGCAAGAGGGCGCTTAATGTCACCATGAGAGCATAAACGAAAACGCTTCCCATGATGAACATCACTTGCGCGGCAATGCTGGGCTTCTTCTTAATGTCATACGAGCCGCGGGAGTTGTTACATCGTCTGTCAATGTAGAGAATCAAGTATAAAAGCCCAAACGCCATTAAAGCATAGAGGTAGTAAACGGCGGGAATACGAATTATTTCCTGCATGCGCACCCACGTTCTCCCCTGGGCGTCTGGGATCCAGCTGTAACACCATATTGTTATAGCCAGATAAACCACGAGGGGAAACACTCTCGTCCACCAGGGTATCTTTCTCCAGAATGGCAAAGAGAAGATCTGCAAAAATATGTTAACTTGTCATTTTGGACTATAACTTATTTAATGTGCTCGATTGAAAATATCTGTTGATCATGCTCTAACGAGACAACTCCATTCCATAGATAACATTTATGCTAGTGAAACATTTTTCTTAAGATATTATAATAAAAGATGTCAATTTCTTAGTAAGAGTTATAATGTAACTGACTTTTAGATGTTTTTTTTTTTTTTTGGATTGAAATGAACACCAAATTAAGAAGATATATGGAACAAAAACATTCAAGTAGTTCTGTCAGTGAAGAGGTGGCCCACCTGAGTAAGTACCAATACCAAGGCGAATCCGAAGACAAACATTGGCCACAACTTTGTCCCCAACATGTCTGGCCCTCCTGTCTGGTACGCAACCACGCCCCCGTGCCACGTGACCCATATTTCTAATAGGAGGCGCCAGTATCTGTTCAGATGCATGTTGGTGTACACAAGACTACCTGGAATATGTTATTACTGTATTTACAAAAATAAAACATGAAGTTTGACGGTTATCCATAAACTGATCCTTTAAAATCAAAATGACACCAAGCGAATAGCATTTATAATTGCCTGCTGCTAAAACCACGAAGCTCCCATCACTCTTTTAATAAAGTGGTTTATAATTATTTTAAGAATAATTAATAATTGGGGAAGTATATTATAATGTAGCCCCCCAATTAATAATAATTAAGGAAGTACATAATTATAATAGCGCATACCTTGCAGCATAACCAACCACGTGTGAGCGAACCCTAAAGCATGTCCCCACGTGTTTTCCATGGGGTGATACCAGAATGTATAGATTACAGCCCAGGCAAAGGCATATCCATGGTACTTGCGGAATAAGTTTATGGGGCCGTAGCTAAAACGCACTTTCCTGCTCTTCGGTCCGTTATCATGGACGCTAGGCCAACCGAAGATCATCCCTCGCTCTTTGTATTCTAACAGCACGATCAATACCAACATCATGATCACGGAGGCTGGAATATCAAAGTGCAAGGGAAATTTCTGAACTGCTCAATTCTATGTTATTGTACCTCTTCGCGGTAAATTGAGGGAAAAGATAATAATAACGACCACTTATTTATTTTTTATTTATCTCAATTTTTAATTCAATTTTTATTAACCAATTTCTAATACTAATTTGCTTTGGAAAACATTTATAACTCTCAAAAGTCACGTGCATGCAGCATGTCCTATTTAATATTTGTGAAAAAAAACCTAAAAGATTACACTGTGAGCTGGCAATGCTGACATCCTGTGCCAAGGCGTCATAGGTGATATGAGTTTGTAGCAGGTGAAGCAGGTGGAAGAACACATTAAGACCCAGTAATATGTAATTGTGTTTCCCGAGCTTTGTGCTATATTTCTCATTGGGTGTTTCTGCTGCCTGAAAAATTCCCAATTATTTGACAATGACAGCACGAACAAAATGCTTGTTACTGTATAATAAATGCAGAAAATCGGATAAAACCTAATAACATCATGAGCAAAATGTCATAAAAAATTTAATTCAATTATTAAATTGAAGCCTACATTCCTTTGAACACACAACTGAGCTGAGGACGCACTTTTCAAAACGCAAAATAGGCCTAATTTTGACATTACTAGATGAAAAACACAAACCTATACCTTTGCCAGTTGTGAATAGAGTATCCCAGCCCACATCAGTAACTGATGTCCCACGTAGCCTAACCACATGAAGAGACGGGTGAATGCAGTGACTTGATCCGGCGGCAGTTTCCAGTAATACCAACGGGAATCGGCACCAACGCCGTATCTAAAACGAATATTCAGTACAAAACAGTTTGCATAATCATTACTAAAAAAAAGCAAGACGGTGATTCCGCATATATATATATGTAGGTTCTCTCAAGTATGGAACATTGAAATGGAATGTCAATTATGAGATTGTAATAAGGTCAGATATATAAAAGCATTTTAATTGAAATCAACCAACTGATCCTTTAAATAGAAAAAGAGGCATTTTCACCCTTCACATTTGTTGGACAGAATTTAAATTGTACCTGCACACGTTAACGCACAATTAATTACTAATGACTAAATTAACTTCAATTTGGGCTCAGATTTGTCACACAGGTATACACCTGTCACAACTTAATGCACACGTGAGGTACATCTACCCTATTAATGTGTTCCACTCATTTACATGTAACTAGGGAATTTGTTTAATTGTCATTGTAAGAGTCAGGTATATCTATGGTTTTATGAAAACATTCACAGTAGAATAGGTCAAAATAAAATACGTCTCATATTTTCGAGATTTGCTTTTCAGCAAAAGTGTATACTGTAACCAAAAGTGTATGATATACCCAACCATGGCACCAGCTTCTGCTATTGCTAATAAAACAATGATCTACAGTAGTCCCGTACCTGCCTTTCACCCCCGGTTCCGGCACATAGGGCTCAGGCCAGAACCTGTCTCTGGACGTTGCACTGGTGTTGTGTGTGTAACCGGACTGAGCGTCCCAGCCACGCATAGCACCTTGAAGATCAAACAGTATTTTACTACATGAATGTATATGTTATGTTATGTAACTTATGTAACTAAAAATGATTAATGGCATAGGGCCTAATATGAAAGTTTTCGTTTTTTAAAAACGCAGCATCTCTCAAAAATCCGACATATAATTCAATAAATAAAATCAGGTCATATAGTTAAATTGCAATAATCATTAGTTCTTTGTTTCAAAGCTGTGCTTGAGTGACACAGCCTTTTAATAATACATCTTATCAGAGAGAAAATGATATAAATAAATTACCAAAGCCAAACATCGCCCCTATCAAAGCAGCTATGAAAACGATGCCAGCAAACCACGCCCAGAAATCTTGTCTCTTGTACCAACTCACTGACTCCATGGCGGGATGCTTCTGAAACGACAGATTGAACAACATGTGAGTAAAAAATTATAACTGATGGTTCGGTGTTTTGTGTTGTTCTTCAATATTCAAACACTCTGTCCTTAATGTCCTCATGGTTGGAAGAAAAGTACAATGACACCACTTTTATGATTTAGGTTTTCTTCTGACAAAAATTCTGTTGTTACCATAATCTGGATTTCAATCTGTAGATCAAGTATTTTTTCACCAACTGATTGGTCGGCCATATCTAATATTGCACAAAAACTCCCAACGCATCCCGTCTTGTATAACGTACTTCGTGTATACGTCATAACGTTATCTTTACGTCGCATCGAATCGACGTTGAGCACCTTTCTGTTGCGCATTGCGCCAGCAGTGCTGGAGATTAATAAAAAAAATCGCGACAATTGCAGTAAAAATGCTGAATAGAATTGGTTCATAAAAGCTTTTCAACAAAAGTGTTTTCAGGTAATACTGCTTCCTTGCTGGAATGTTAAGTACTTTTGCAATGGACCTTCCCCCAACACAAACTTGGTGTAAGTCTTAGATTATTTAAATGTGATTTTAATGTAGATTTTTATCAGATCAATGCTTCTATTCAAATGTGTTTGGGAATTTTATTCCATGTTTTTACAAGAAAATTCAAGTCCATTCAAATATGACAGCTGAGGTCAAACTATTTTATTTGAATAGTAGAGGCATTGACAGACATTGATAAGGCACGCAGACCTAAATCTACATGTATGTGTTGAAAATACGAGGGGATACAAAAATGAAACTCACACAGAAAGAGCAAGCTATTTAAGTTTATACTTCTTCATTTTTCGACAAATTCGATCCCTTTTTAATTCAATTTACTCATTTGTCCCGTCTACAGCGGGATGACAGAAGCATTGCACCATCTATGTACTCTGTGACATGGGGGACCCATTCGTAAAAAGCGATTCGCAATTTTAACCAGCGGCGAGTTTTCATCCATGTACACTATAAAGGTTGCCATCAAAGGTGTTATGCCCTTCTGGCTGCCAAGTTTCTACCATGTTGAAGGTACTACGCGGGAGCTCAAAAATTGAAGGAAGAAAAGAAACTATGATTAAAATTAGTTTGCATATTACTTATTAGAAATGCCACTCATTTCATTAACCTTTTAAATTGTCCCCGCGTTCTCTAAAAGGGCAATTTTTTCATTAATCCATTTAATTCTTGCTTTACTGTAACTGCTAGTTATTTTTTATACTTCCAACGAAGGTTACGAGCGTACCTATAGAAAAACCAAGCTAGACTAGCCTACCTTCATATCAAACGGAAATCGGGGCAATAAAATGTGAGTAAATTAAAAATGGCTGTGGTCACCCACGATCACCAGCGAACTCAAGTCTGAACTGGACTGTAGGCAACAACAACTCAGACTGACATAATTAACCATTGGAATTATTGCGAGAGTAACTAATTCATAATTCATCAAAATATTTCGAAAATTTAGAAATATGACATACATTGAAAAATGGAGGAGCCTTACCCTTTTCCGCTTTCTGTACAACTGCCTTGTCATTATACCACGGTAGGATCCAGTGTTATATATTAACCACGTGAGTTCCCTACTTTAACTGTAACTATACACAATGTGACCTGACAATCTTTGCACAGTTATATAACTTGCCATCACTGTGGGACTTTGATCACATTGACACGTGTGTATGTCTTAAATAAATCAATCAATGACCTCTTATCTATATTCACTGGGTTAACCTGGGACCTGAGCTTATGTTACGGACAGGTACACATGTTTCTGACCTATTTATAGGGATACGTTACGTGCTGTTTATGTTAACCTGTCCCTCCCCTAACCCCCCCCCCCCAAAAAAAAAAA